GTGTTCGCACTTTTTATCACCCACTTTCAACTCGAGAACCAGAAAAGCTAAAAGGCTGAAACTTTGGGATTATGTGACCATACCATGCGTAACCCCCGGTTTTAATTCCATCCCCCTCGAACGCCTGGGTGCCGCATAAGGACGCATTAAAAAAATATGCAAATTTTTCGGCGGGAGAGTGATCTCGGGAACCGCATGAGCTAAGAGGCTGAAACTTTGTAGGGATATTTCCTATGCATGTACTAGCTAAAGATTTCAAATTCAGCCCCCAGGTATGCGTGATACTCACGTAAGGGCGTATGAAAGGTTCCGCAGGAAAATTTCTAACTCGGCAACCAGAAGAGCTGGAAGGCTGAAATTTTAAGCGGATGTTCCCTGTCCACTTGCAATTTAAAAACTTCAAATTCAGCTTTCCAAGCACGTGGAGTATTACGGGTATGTGGAGGCTTTGGCTGGAAAATTGCTAACTCGGTAAACAGAAAAGCTGGAAAGCAGAAATTTTGAGAGAATGTTCCCTGTCCAAGTACAATTTAAGTGTTTCAAATTCATCCTTGGGATATGTGTGGTTCTTACGTACGGGCACTAAAAAGCCCTGGCGAAAAAAATTTCTCACTGAACAACTAGGTTGGATTTAAAGAACGGCTGTTAAATGGGAATTTTACATTTACTTCGCGAAATTTATGTTAGTGACCGCAAAAGGTAGGTGTAAAGCAGCAGCCATTCATACAGTTAATGACCTGAGTAATTCAAGTCTGGTGCAAAAATGCATTATCGCACGGGCCTGCCCGGTACGTTCCAGCCTAGTTTGCAATTTGCGTATAGGCAAAAACGCATAAAAACGGCCAGTCTTCTGCAAAAAACTGGTAATTTTGTGCCGGGAGGCCCTTACGGCCCTATAATGTAACAGCTTCGTCCCAACCGACGCCCTTTTTCCTGCATGCCGGATGAGGCCAAAGGGCGGCCAGTATGAGCCCTAGTGTTAGGCTAAAGCGCAAGGATCATTCCTGCTATTAGCGATCTGCGAGTTTAGTGCAAAAACGCATGATTACACCGGCAAACTTGGTGCGTTCCAGCCTGGTTATCACCTTTGTTAATTTGACCACGTTGCATCAATCAACGCTGCCTCGACTAATCCGCAATTTTTTAGGCATTGTGTGGCGAACTTCGATCGCTCATTATGTTGGCATGAAACGGTAGCTGGCGAAGTAGCTCAGCGCAAGTGTCCGTTTTCTTACTGCTTGAATGTGGACGGCTGTGATGTAGTTGCAAGTAAGCGATCAGGCTGAAAATTATTTGTTATGCTGACACATGGCTGGTAGCAGTTTTCACCAAAGACTAGACAAAACGCAGGCGAATACAGTATGGCAAGCTGAAAGCTGGCTTGCATCACTGCACAGCTTTGATACCTTTAGAAAATTTAGCTCATAAACGGCCGGCTCACTTGCCACTTAATCCGCGTACATCACTGTTTTCTTAAAAACCTTAATTGTTAACTAAAAATCGAGCACTTGCAGATAGCTACAGTGTTCAGCGTTTGTGCAATGAAAACGGTAGCTGGGCAGATCCAGTGTACGGGCAGTGCATTGACGTCATTAAACATCATCCGCAGTGCATTGTTGGATTTTGTAGGATGGTAAACAAATTGTTTTTCTCGTTCTGTAGTTATACGCTCAATGGTTTGGGTCACAGCCTGTGACAACGTGTGTGTGGGAGATGGGGTACTTTTTGCAAAAATGTGGATTGAAAGGGACCGAACTCTTTTCCTTCACCATTCTCGGATTCTTCGACTCGTGAGGTATTGGCTAACGTACTGGTGGTCTTTGTGTTTCACGCCCTGAAACTGACGCATTAAGTCAATATACTAAACCTCCGTTCGCTGTGCAGCTACTGCTCCTATAAAAAGCACGCATCTTCTGCAGTTCATTTTGGCTTCTCGCGCGTTCCGGTTACAAAAAACCGGTTGGGCCGAGTTATAAATAAGATTCAGTTGGTATACCTGAAATGAATTAATACACCGAAAGCAGTCAGTGCAGCAATTACTAAGATCGAAACGAACTGAGTCAATACAGAACAGCTTAAGTTCAGTTTTTTTAACAGACTGACTGATAAGAGGATTTGATTCCAAAATTTCATAAAAGACTTGTTAAATGTGTATAGGTAGTAGATTTGAAAATAGTAAGAAAATGTGCAATACTTCACTAGAAAAGTTAAAAAACTTGTTTCTTTGCAACACAGTGGGTAGTATGCTGGGAAGACACTTTTGCAGGGGTGTGAAAAATGCCAAGGATATTTAGCAAATTAAGACTGGAACATGGGACTAATACAGTTTCATGTTCTGAAAAGTAAATTTTTTTCCAGTGTCCGGATTTGCTTCGTGAAATGGTGATCAACGTTTCGTTAACGCTCAGCATTTTATCGGTTTCGCTGCTTGTTGCTGCACTAATATTATTCAGTATATTTGATTCAATTCAGTGCCGACGCCTTTCTATCCATAAAAATCTTGCAAGCGCTTTCGTCTTTCGGTTTGCTGTGCTGGCAGTCTGGACAATTGCACAGACGTCAAACCTTTTTCAGGATTGCTCTTTCTACAATTCAATGCCTCTTTATGAATATGTTAGTTGCATTTTTTATACCCCTAACTGCAATAACTCTAACTGGGTTGCTGCTGGAAATCTTTCTGGATTAAAAATAAAGGAGGCCAAGGTACCAGTAGGTCAGCAGTTTTGACCTACAAAAATTACTAGGCGAAAAAACTTGAAAACTCACTTGCAAGGAATAGCCTAGCTTTCACATTCAGTGCTAATGTTCTGACAAGAAACTCTGGATGATGCATCTCTTACTGGCAGATGGATAATTGGCTCACTTGATAAGGTAATGCTGTAAAATTTACGAATTGCTAAGGTTGGAATCATACCCCGTCACAGTGCCATTGCTTCCTGCTTCCAGAAGTGTAAGAAGTTGGAAAATAACATGATCAGCTAGGGACGACTACCTTCATTAGCTTGTTGCCCGAACTATCTGCAGAAATAAATATTCCCTATGAACTTTTAAAGTTTTAGTCCGCAGAAACACTAACATTTCAGGAGTGGATTTGTAAATTGCTGCTTTGGCTCGTCATCTACTTCCAGGTTTGCAGTGTTTGCTCTACTTTCACGGTACGGTGACAGAATCTTCAGGATAAAGGCAATGATGACGAAAAAAGTCGCGCGATTTTTTGCAAAAATCCCATTCCCTCAGCCAAATTAACTTTTTCAAACAGACAGCGGATTCCAAAGTAATTCAATTTTTCTAGCTTTTCAGCGCGCATCTTCAAAGTCTCCTATGCTTCTTAGTTTTCAAGAGAAAACATGCACTTCCATAAACAATGGAGTTTGGCTATGTAAACTCTTTCAGCTCTCGTCCACATGTCGGTACCATTTAGCCATAGAAATGAATCCCAGAAGTCTGAATTTTCCCCCGATATCTTCGCATCGCAAGTACTAGTCTCAAATACGCTAATTAAATCAGACTGTTTTTGAGAATGTCGCTCAAAAATGCTCTACCACTACTAGTTTCAGTCATTTTTTGAACTTGACATATTATATCTTTAACGTAGTGTTTTTTTATTAAACCAGCCATAACTTATCCTTTGAAGTATCTCAACTAACTGGTTTTTGCACAAGTTAATGAAGATGGATGAGGGATTGTGTAACACGGATAGAGATAGAGCAGGTTCCTTCATCACCAGTTGTGCAACAGGTCTCAGAAGTGGTTGCAGGTTGCATCCGTGATGTGGATGTTTATTGAAGGTGGTTATCTGTATAGTCGCTTTACGGTTTTTGCCATGAGAAGTACCGACTGCCCATATTATGCTTATCTTCTTTCTGGCTGGGGTACGTCTGCCTAATCCTTATATAAAATTTTTCTCCTTGTATGTTAACCGTGTAAGACAAACGAGGGCGTTTCTCGAATGAAAGGCGAAAGAAGAATCCTCTTCTCAGCAAATATGATATTTTACACCAGCGACAGGCTCTTAGCAGACCTAAAGAACTCAGCAGCTATGAAAATACTGGTGGAGAAGGAAAATTATGAAAATGAATAAAAGTAAAAATGAGGCACTCTCTCCCTTGCATAAGCATCCAAAGAAAGTCAAAGCAATTCCTGGAGAATAGTAACAGTTAGCAAAAGTAGTGGCAGCACAAAAAAAGCAAAGCTTTATGAAGTGCAGAAAGGAAGTGCTTTCACACTGCCTCACAATCGCGGGCCTCAAAAATGAAAGTGAATGTCGGATCACATACCACACAAATAAATTATATAAAGGATTAATCACCGATCTTTTAGGTCACAAGTTGACATTTAAGCAATTCTTAATCTACTTTGCCCAAGCAACATACTGTTCATGTGCTTGTCGGCCATATAAGATACGCTGCCCTTCAAATAAAAGCTGGAAAAGCTTCTAGTACTGGTCGCATTTGATATCACTCTCACATATTTGGAGGACAGAAAATTCGAGAAACTGTCGCCAGTTGTTTGAGCAGGTGCATGGCTGAAATAAGGATTTCTAGCTGTTAAAGAGAGTCGAGAACTATTTTTCTGCAGAGAAAAGCAATAAAGAAAATTTCCTTTTCTCACGTTTTCTATTTCAGCAGTGATATTTGCTAGTTATCTAGCTATTCATAAGTGCAGTCCCATTAAGTCCAAACAAATTGCTGGAGTGGGAGTTTCAGCAAAGCAAATTGATGAGCTGCATTTCAGGAATACCGCTTGTTGTTGTTATAAGTTGGACCATTGTGCACCAGCGACGTTCTAGTCAAAATCAGAATTCATTCTGCTGGCTGCCGTATGCGCAAGGTGCCCATCTCTGGATATTATCCGGAACCATGGGCTTGGCATTAATTGTTTGTTTTTTATATAAATTTACCAATATTTTCTTGTATTACTAGTTTAGTGAAGATAAGATCCAACGGCTGCTTAATGCAGCAACACAGGGAAAAGACCAATTTTTTACAGGGCGAATTCAGCTGTTTATTTTCAGAGCAATGACTTATTTCCCGCGCACAGTTTCATTAAAAGCGATAATACCAATGAGTTTTGAAAAAGGCACTATGGAATTTTTTTGAATTTTTGTTAGCAATTCCATAAGTGTAGTTTTGCTGAAGCTGATCATTTCTGGGGACTAAAATATAACCGATACCTCCTGAAGAATAGATTATTCTGCACGCGCCTCACTCATCCATCTCCTGTCCCTATTTTACTCACCTGATTGCGTCATTGTATAAAAACCCTATTTTCAAACACTTTCTGTTGCAAGGCATAAGATGATTTTTCCACGCTCGCACCTTTTTCTGATTTTCCAACTTTTTTTCTTTTGTGAAACTTTGCAAACACACTCTCTTTTGCAATTCGATACTAATTTGGCGATTTGATCTCCTACCAAGGGAAGCTTGGATTAATCCGAATCATGATTATTTGCTATTTTGTTGTTTCTTCCAAATTTTTTCACTAATTGTTGCATCGTCAGTTCTTTTCAGTGCTTGTCAAAGTTTATCAATTTTAGCTCAATCTGTTATTTCTTTTGGGCATTGTTATCATATTAGCGCAAAAACTGAGAGCTGAAAACACTGCCGAATCAAAGAAAATATGGTTACTTTTTACTAAATTGTTGAAAATAAACAGAAACATTAACCAGTAGGCGGGCGGTGTTTTTATTTTTCAAGTAACTGACGAAAATGTTCAATGAGACAGCTTGCAAATCCTTGCAAAATGGCTGTTTGCAAGACAGCTTAACAAGCTTCTTAAACATTTAGAGGACTGAGATTCGATAGAATTTCGAGTTTGCCTAAATCTGGCTTGCAGCCAAGGGCTAAGACTGAAAGGTTCAAGTATCGGTTTCAGAATTATTATAGTTCGAGCACGGTCATGTATTGTCTTCTCAAGCCTTCGTAATTTTTGGTTCATTTGCCACCAGCAAGAACACAAAAGCCGCCGACAGTAGTTGTGGAGATCCCTTGCTAATGAATGTGTTTTCAAATTCAAGCTTAGATGCTGACAACTGAGGGAGCTAAAAACACGAAATTTTGTTCTTGATTTTGTTCACCGGGCAATTGATATTAAGAAACTCGAAAGCAGCAATCAGTACTTAGTGTATTTTCACTTGAATCGAAAATCATGCTGATTTTGCAAGTAAAAGACGACGCAGAATGCAAAGTAGAAGTCTTGTTGTTTCAGTCTGCATTTTGAATTTGCGCTGAGAAAACCATTCCTCTTATCACTTCTTAATTCGTTTCAATAATGAATAAATGGCCAGCGCACCAACTGCTGGTGCGAAGATGCGTTTTTTGTATCTTCGCACCCCGCACATTTTTGTCGCTAACGGCACTGGTTTTTCCGACAGATGCTTCTAGCTAAAAGAATTGAGACTGCCCGCCAGGGCTGTCAGAAAACATCCCTTTAAGTCTTCAGCGTTCTAACTTTCCTGATTCCCGAGTAAGCAACTTACTGCAGAAAATTCACGGGCCCGTACGTAGGAACCACGCATACCCGAAGGCCGGGTTGGAACTCATTAAGATCTATGTGAATGGAAAACATCCCCTTGAAATTCCAGTCTTCTAACCCCTCAGATCTCCCGAGTTAACAACTTACCTGTAAAAAACTTTCACGGGCCCGCACATGGGTACCACGCATACCCGAGGGCTGGGTTTAAACTCCTTAAGACATGCGCAGACGGGGAACATCTCTTTAAAGTATTAGCTTTCCAGTTTCTCCGGTTCCCGAGTTTACAGCTTGCTCGTAAAAAACTTTGGCTGGCCCGTACGTGGACACCACGCAAGTAAGAGTGCCCATTTTGGGGTTGGGAGCCCGTACATGCATGTAGATTAAGTTCCCAAAGTTTCAGCTCCGTAGCTTTAGTAGGTCTCGAGATGAAAAATCGCTACAGACGAACACAGACATACATGCAAACAAACCTTCGTCAGTGTGCGTTTTCTGCATTGCATAGAAGCAAAAAAACGCATAACCAGAACTTGAGCAATATAAGGTTGCTACCGCCTTTAGCTTGCTTCCAAGCCGCTCTCGGTAAGAATTTTTGGCAGCCTTGCTAGCAGCTTCTAGCAGTTTATCACCACCCAGACTATTTGTATATGTCTCCATTTCTCAAAAACAGTAGACCGTTCGAGAGGAAGATGCGTTGAAAGATCAAAACAGCAGCCCTGCAAAACGCGTTCATGCACCGTACGACCAAAATAACATTGCTGAAATGCATAGTTGCATTGCGGTTTTGTACGCGCAGCTTTTTGTATTAAGCAAAGTGTCTTTTTTTTACTGCTTGTGTTTCAAAAGTGCTAGAGACTGATAATTTGAAACAAGAAGCGCGGCTGGACTTTTGTACCCGTATGAAGCTGAACTCATGCGGGTCTGAAATTTTTTCAAAAATGTCTGTTTTTGTAACATTAAGATTTCCACTTCTCGCTACGGAATGATTAAGTAATTTTCTGACAAACTGTTGTAGCTGTCTGAGCACCGATAAAGCCTGATAAAATTTGTGCATTCAGTTCAGTGAATTACCAGAGATTTTAGGACTTTCGTTACAGGCGTTTCGTCCTAACTGATGTACGGCAGGCAGTTGTTCAGCTGCCCTGTTCTGCATAACCTTTTCTTGAAGTTAGAAATGACTGCACTGTCATACGCTAGTCTCATAAAATGTAGCGCACTGTCTTTCAAACTTGTTGTCCCAAAGTGACTTTACATTCTCTTATGTTGATCGTGTGTAAAGTACTGGACATTTGGCTAATGAAGTAACTGGATAAAGTATTTTTGAACGGAAAAGTCTGCTTCTCGCTTTTTCCTTACTTTCCTGAAAGGGATTTTTATTGCAGGAGGACAGTTAAAGCAACACTGCTTTTGGTACCACTGTTAGGTATTTCGAACATACCGCTTTTTTACGAACCGTCTCAGCCCAGCAGTACGTACATGCTTGGTTCAGCAATTCTACAGCATTCTCAAGTTCGGCTTTAACAACGTTCTAGCTCTGCTAATCCAGCGAATACTGACTATACTGTATTTTTATTAGGGCAAGACAGACTCTTTGCTGTGTTTTGGAAACGTAAGAGTGAGCAGTGTATGATGCTTTCAAAATAGAATGGCAGTTCGTTACAATAAGGCATTGAGCAGCGCTGATAAAAATTCAGTTTATGCTGAAATTTTTCAAAAAAAATCTCGTTTTCCATGGTTGAAATGATTAGACGGCTTCACAAAGTTTCTGTGCGGAAAAATTGTTTTTGTGTCTGATTTGACATTTTGCTGTAATAAAGACAGAGCTAAATGGAAGGACCAGGGTCTGGACAAGCAGAGAAATCGAGCGCGCATTACGTATTGACAGGTATAGCGATATAGTGAGCAACTCTTTCATGAAATTCATTCTTTGTTTCTAGCACTTTTGATTTCTGGCGCAGCGTCACGCTTCGGTTTAATTTAATGGGAAAAATAGAGTGCTCTTGAATAATTTTTGCAAAAAATAATCAAAAATTTTCTTTAATTAAGTTTTTGTTTTTTCTTACTGGTGGCCATAACAGCGATCATTATTAACAACTGCATTAATACCACTTAATAATTAGCTTCATCCATCTGCTTCCCCTCACTGTCGTTTCCTGATAAAAAACGGACATAAGTTTTTGGTTCTACTTTCTTGCTTCCCCTCTCTAATCTTCATCCTTCGCCTAATTTGCGCCGTACTAAGAACTTAGAAGTTTTCTTTAATCTGTTAGTGTGTGACAAAAGGATTTTTTTCAGGGCATATTTATTGCTGTGCTGTATTGCTTTCTGAATGGTGAAGTGCAAAATGCAGTGAAGCGACAGTGCTCAAAAGTGAAGTTGTTTGTTGCCAGGTGAAACAGCTTTTTGGAAGTAGTGTACATATTTTGAATTACTCGACGTCTCATTTATGGCATTCCGTTCCTTGCTAAATAGCTTCGCGATTTTCAGTGATCGTCGACGATATGAAACGGAACGAACATATATACCTGATGTAACAAATCAAATGAATGATAAAATTGGAATGCCTATGGAAGAACTGAATAACATGACCAGCTGAAGAAAATTTGCCTGTTCGGACCAAAGGCTCCGCATGGCAAACTAATAGGCGACAGTGAATCAACGTGATGAAAATGTTGTTGATTTAGTATTTTCATAGTTTCAGTCCGCAAATACAAGCTTATCCAAAAATGAGCCTTATATATTAGCGATACTGCCGATGGAAGACAAAGTTTTGCTGCTTTCAGGATCAGATAATCGCAAAGCCTGTCGTTCTTCTTTCACGTGTACACGAGTGTGCTGCTTGAATTGAATTTTTTGTCCCAGTTCTTTTTATTAATTTTTATGAGTTTTTGCTTATATACAAATTGCAAAAAGGCATATTGCGCCGACCCTATGTGTGTGTGTGTGTGTGT